GACATTGGTGGCCCACCAGCCCATCAGGCTTCTGGGAATGTGGGCAAGGGCTCTTTGTTAAGGAGCCACTCTCCCAGGCGAGGGCTGTGACCTGGCCACCTGGCTTTGTCCTGTCTCCACTTGCAGCTCACTCTCCGCATATGTCTGCCCACGCCTGCCTCTGAAGAGGCACAGAACTGGCTTCTCCCCGTCTCCCAGCTAGCTGGGTTTCTGCATTCGTGATTCTTTGCACAGCTTCCTGCTCACATTTCTTCCTGCCCTGCCAGGCCCCTAGAGCTCCCTCCTGGAAAATAGCCTGCCTGTTCTCCACCGGCCACAGCCGGCCCCTGAGGATAATGCCCCATGCTCTGAGCGCAGAGGCACCATGGGTGCTTGGCCCATTCTGGCTGTAACAAGTGCAACTGCAGGAAAGCATGTCTGATCCCTCCTTGATAGAGAACAGGTCAGGCTGTCCCCATCCATTCATGAATTCTGGAAATATGGACTGAACATTTTGTAAGCAGCTGTGTGCCTCTGTAGAAACCTCCACTTGTTACACAAGAGGCTCGGTAGAGGGCGCTCCTGCACTGGGACAGTTAAGCATGGGGCCAAGAACCGGAGCCCAGCGCGGCAGGAGAGATTGCTAGGGAGAACAAACAAATCATAAAACGCGGGCATGCAAGGGTGCCTGTGTTCTGATCTTTCCCAGGTCCTGGGGTTGGCTAGGAGGCTCACCTTGTAGTTAATCCTAGCCGCCTTACCAAGGCAAGGATAATAGCGCCTTACTCACTAGGTCCACTAGCAAGTCATTTTCCTCTGCAGCGCAGGATTTCCAAGCCCTGCAAAGAGGCAGAAGGGTACTGCAGGACAGTTACAAAGTTACTGCCAAGTTACTGCCTTCGGCCTCCTTGACATAACTGAGTCCTTCTCTGACGTGAAGTCGTGCAGATGCAGAAGAAACGGCCGGTGGAAGCGGTCTTCATCTCAGACTGGTCCATTTTAGGGCGGAGAGCCGCCACACGTGGCTGGGATGCATGGAGAAGGCGTAGCATCCGCTCCACCTCTGCCCGGCGCAGCGCATGGGCTGTGGTGTGGGGCCACGAGAAAGCGACTGTGGGGCCCTGCCGGCCTGGCACGGGAGGCTGCTAAGCACGACCTTCCTTCCTCTAAGGCCAGCGCTTTTCAGCGGAAACCCATATTTGAAGGAAAGTTTCCAGCTGACTCAAACAAATGCCATTTTTTACATATTAGAAGTTAAATTATCAACTGTAAAATCAACTTATCACCTGGTGAGTGAAATTAGAATGTAGAGCACCTGCTATTCAATTACGGTGAGCTGCTATGTAATGGCTCTGTTCTGGAAGGCTCTATTAACGTCTATTAATCTGCTTTGTCTACCGGACAACAGACAGCCCTTGAGTGCCGAAACCTGCGGGGGCTGAAAAATGCAGGGGGTACAGTCACAACCATGAAGCAGGTGGTCGTAATCAGCATAGCACCGAGACAGCACGTGGGTATTCTACTGAAATAGGCCCCTCCCACTGGCCCGGTGATCAAGGCACGGCTGACTCAGGCAGAGCAGTGATGCAGAGGTGTCCTACGACCAGGCCATTTGTGGGAGGCAGAAAAGAGGCTGCCAGGCCGGGCTGTCCCTTTCCAAGGCCCAGGGTTCATTCTGGATGGGTTCCCAGCCTCAGCCCCGTCTGCTGCAGAGAGGAAAGAGAGCGAGAGTGGACACACCGAGGAGGAGCTGGTTATTTATGGAGGAGCCCTCGAAGGCAGCCAAGACAATCACTCCAAAAACACAAAATCCTGTCTTCCCAGAGTCCCCAGCTGCAGAGGTGACATCATTGTGCATTTCTGCTTACTCACTGTCCTTCGCTCCTTGGGTAGCAGTGCCCTGGTTCTTTGGGAAACATCAATTGTAGCCCGGGTTCCATGTCAGTGGACCCAATCACACTGAGTAGTACAGTACCTCCCAAAGGTGTGTGCTCCAGCATTTGTTGGAGCTACCAGAGAAAAACGATGCACCTTTTTCTTTCTAGGATCTAAAGGATATGGGCCCAGCATTGCCAGTTGGAAAAAGATTCAACACAGAGGAAAACTGAGAAAACTTGATCTAAAGTCTACTTTTGAGCTCCTGGATCCAGCCACACCTGAAGAGAACACCTATCCTGAACTGTGTGGTTGGGCCAGTGACTATATTTCCATTTTGGACCAACTCAATTTGAGTGGTATTTCTTCTACTCTTTCTGATTGAATTCAGGTAGCCTACAACATTATTCTCCATTAAATTAAGTGTAAGAGGGTGTGGTGGTGCACGCCTGCCATCCCAGCACTTGGGAGGCAGAGGCAGGAAGATCATTATGAGTTCAAGGCCAGTCTGGGCTACCTAGCAAGTTCAAGGCCAGCCTGAAATGCATGGTGAGACCCTGTCTAAACAAACAAGCAAACGAATGTATTGGTAGATACCCGCATGAAGGAGAGAGAATGCTTAGCATAAATACAGCGCTCAGTCATCCGTGACTATAGGTTTTGTATTCACGGATTTGACCATTTGCTGATGGACAATACTTGAAAAAAGTTTCACTTGTATGTTTCTATGTGTTGACATTTTTTCCCGTCACTGTTCCCTAAATAATACGGTACAACAACCACTTGTGTAGCATTTACATTGTCTCAGGTGTTACAACTAATCTAGAGCTGATTTAAAGTGCATGGCAGGACGTGTGCCAGTTATGTTATGTACACATGGCGAACCATGTCACAGACAGGACCTGAGTGTTGCCGGCAGTTTTGGTGTCTTGCGGGAGGAAGTCTCCCAAACCCAACGCTCCCAGGGCACCAGGGCGTACTGCACCACCGGTGATGGAGCCGGCCATCCGCACAGAGGTACCCTCAACATCCGGGCCTTGGTTTCCTCAGCCGGCAGGGCGCTCACCAGCACCAGTGTTCTGCCTGCAGTCCTAAGGGTCTAAGAGGGCTTGTCCTTCTCTGGACTGATGTGGCCTTCCCACCTGTTTTGGTACAAAGGAAATCATATAATTCACCCTAGCTTGTGAAAGGAGGGCAGCAAAAGGAAGTCATTAAATTATTACACTAAAAAAACACCTTTCCATTCTTCCCTCCCAAGACACTCCTGCTTGCTCTACACATTCTTACCCACCGTCGCGTTTTGAAGCAGTCCCGGAGGGCCTCTTTCCGGCGGCCTTGACGTCGTGAAGTAATTCAAAACGTTGCCCCTCATGGTTGTTTCGGCTTTGGAGAAGAGCGAAGTCACAGCCTGCCAGACCCGGGGACTGAGGGGGCTGAGGACGCACTGTCATGGCTTTAAGGGCCAGCCTTTCTGTTGGACGGCCCTCGGCAGCAGCATTCACCATGTTTTTGATCACATCTCAGAGACTGTCGTGACAGAAGGGTTCCAGACTGCTTCAGAGAGTGGCAAGGACAAGGGGATGTTGGGGGTGAGGGGGAGGTTTTGAGGGCATTGACGGTGATGTGTCTTTTACTATAATAAAATTTGAGCGCTCACTGTTTATTTCAGTTACACCTCGTGTGAAACACTTGTATACACACCTATGCATACACAAACGTACATCGTTTTTTCAGCTCACGAATGATTCATCGTTCCATTTTCCTCCCTCAGCAGGAGCGAGGTGACCCCGGGTGTCTGCTGGCTTGTCGCAGTCGTCTGCTGTCACCCAGAAGGGCTCTCAGCCCCTGCCCCGCCCAGAGAGGACAAAACCCCCAAATCGCCGGCAGGAGTGCCCAGCGGCACGGGCCGTGTAACCCACGGTGCCACCCACCCGAGCTGCGTGCTTTTCCAGCCAAGTGTGTCTGGGGCACCGGGCTGCGCGAAGCCTGGCCCCGCGGGCAGGGGCGCTCTGTCCCCACCGCGGGTGGCAGGGGGTGCTTCCCCGGGCGGCCAGCAGGGTCGGTGGGATAAAATCAGGCGGCCCAGGGGGGACCAAGAGTCATCCGGGACAGCGTCTCATTCTCAGCTGGGCCTGTAGGGCGCCCCCTGGGTCTCGCACGGGAAGGCGAGGCTGGGCATCGCCCCGAAGGGCGCAGGAAGGTGGGGAGCAGGTCTGGCTCGGGGCTGAACGCCCTCCCTCCTGGCTGCTGGGGCGCGGCCGCCGCCTCCGCCCTGGGTCCCCGGCGGGGC